GGGTAGAGAAGGATGGGAGGAGACCCCCGGATTGTGGGGAGACCAGGAAAGAGGGACAGAAAAATGGAAAAGAGCTGGGGGAGACAGAAGGGGGAAAATATGCGTGCTGAGAAATGAAGAGGGGGAGAGCCAGGGAAGGAGATCAACAGAGAAAGTTGGGGAGATTGGATGGGAAACAGAGGGGGACCTGGGGGCGGAGTGGCCACAGGCCAAGGAGGCAGATGAGGTGGCAGGGGGCCTGAGTGCCGGGGTGGGGGGGACTGTGTGGGAGAGGCGCAGTCAGTGGACGCTGGGTGGTGGGGGGCCGCCGGGGTGTCCATGGGGACCGGGCAGGTCTGGAGGGAATGGGCCATCTGCCAGGGCTTGTCTGGTGTCCCAGGGGTGAGGTGAGGTTTATGGGGAACACAGCGGCTGTCTGGGATCTTTGGGCAGGGTGCTGTGTGAGGGGAATGCTGCGTTGGAGAGCATGTAGCGGCCGTGGGGTATTTGAGGGGGGTGTGTCTGAGCCAGGGGGTCTGAGGAAAGTGCTCGCTCTCAGAGGTGGGGGCTCAAGGGGTGGAGTGGTGAGGGGCTGAAGTATCTGAGGGGGAAAGATGCGTCTGGGGGGGTGTCGGAGAGGAGCGGATGTCTCAGGGTATGGGGGGGGGGGGGGTCTGAGGTAGCGGGGTATCTAAGGCGGAGGGCCTGGCAGAAGGGTAAAGGTTCTGAGAGACCGGTGATGACGGGATGGAGTGTCTCAGGGGGATGGGGTATCTGAGGAGAGGGGTATCTGAAGGAGTAGGGGTCTGAGAGGACCTGAGAAGAGAGGCATATCCAAGGGGGAAGGGGTGTCTGAAGGGGAGCTGAGGGAGGAGGCAGATCTAAAGGGGTAGTGGTGTCTGAGGGGGGAACCATATGTCTGAGGAGGAAGGGATGTTTGAGGGGTACTGTTTGGGAGAGGTAGATCTAAAGGGAAGAAGGGTGTCTGAGGGGGGCTGTCTGGGGGGGTAAGATCTAAGGAGAAGGGATGTTTGGGGAGAGGTCTGTCTGAAGGGGAAGCAAATCTAAGAGGAAGTGGTGTCTGAGGGGGACTGTGGAGGGGGGAAGCAGATCTAAGGTATGGGGGGCTATCGGGAAGGCAGATCTAAGAGGAAGGGGCGTCTGGGGGTGCTGTTTGGTGGGGGAGGCAGATCTAAGGGGAAGGGGTGTCTGGGGGGGCTGTTTGGTGGGGGGGGGGAGATGGGGGGGGCTGGGGGCTGGGGGGGTGGGGGGGGGGGGGTTGGGGGGGGGGACAGATCTAAGGGGAAGGGGCGTCTGGGGGAGCCCTCCTGCAGGGTACAGGGTGGGTGGGCCGCTTCTGGCCTGCTCTGGGCCAGCAGATGAAAGCTGGGGACTGCTTGGGAGCTGGACGAGCCAGCTGGGGGGTCCGCTGGGCGGGCCCCACAGGGTGGGGGTGAGGTTCAGAAGGAGACAAATCTGGGACGGCCAGAGAGAGGGACAGAGACCCAGAGACGCAGAGACGGCTGGGAGGTCAGGTGCGAGAGCGGAGTGGCCGGAGAGAGCGGGCAGCGGCAGAGCCGGTGCGGGGCGGGCGGGTGGCGAGCCAGTGAGTGTGAGTGAGCGAGTGAGTGGGAGCAGTGGGGAGGGAGGCGGGGGGCGCCGAGCGAGGAGGAGGCGGCTGCGGGAGGAGAGGCTGGGAGGAAGGGGTCGGCGGGACGTGGGTGAAGAGGGTGGCGGGTGGCAGGACGGGTGGGCCCGGGCGGAGCACCCACCCCACTGACCCCTGTCTGTCCCCGTGTGTCTGTCCTGGCATCTCTGCAGAGCTGGCTCCACCATGGACTGTAGCTGCGTCTCCGACCTTCTCTTCGCCCCGCCCGCCCTGCCGGCTCTCTGGACCCCCGGTAACTGGCCCTGGCCCGGACCTCCCACCCCTTCCCAGCCAGCCGGCTCCTCCTTTCTGCACCTCTTCCTGTCCTCCCTCCTCTGTCCCGGTCTCTCTCACAGTCCCCTGAATGCACCCCCCAATGAAAAACTTGGCTAAAAACTTCACAGCGAGATGTCCCTGCTACCTGCCTGCTGGGGCGCGCGGGTGGGGGAGGTATCAGGGTCCGAAACGGACAGGATGCAGGGGTCTGAGGTCCTGGGGCTGCGTACCTCTCAGCCTGCTCCCCGCCCAGGACCTTCGGGCAAAGAGAGGCGAGGAGGCTGGAGATGGCCAGGCACCGACGGCGCAGGGGCGGGGACCAGAGGGGGCGCAGGTGGACAGATAGACAGGGACTGCCTGGGTGGGGGGGACGTGGAGACATGGCCCAGCCCAGCGGAGCCCTGGGAGAGAGGACGGCCTGCTCAGAAGTGGGCACTCAGAGCTGGGGATGTGGACAGTAAGACTGGCTTGGATGTTCATTTGAGTCCAAGTCGCACGCCCCACAGATGGACTGGGTGGGTGGGTGGGTGGGTGTGTGTGTGTGTGTGTGTGTGTGTGTGTGTGTGTGTGTACGTGTGCGCATGCGCACGAAGACTGGGACTCTGCCTGCTTATACGTGGGGTCTGAGTGTGTCCCTGTGTCATGCTTCAGTGCTTCTGGAAGAAGGGGTCACACTGGGAGAGTGTATGTGCAGCATGTGTCTTTGTGTGAGCTGGTGTGCCTGCTTGCACACACACAGGAGGCTACCTGGGGGGTCTGTGGGCTGGGCGGGTCGTGTTTCTTTAGGATGTCCAGTGACATTTTAGGATTGTGGGGGAGGTGTGTGTCAGCTCACCAAGTACGTACCTGCCTCAGTCGGGCGAAGGGCCTGCTACCGTTACTTCCGGGTCTGTGTCGTGGTCCAGGATGGATGTCTCAGTGCGCTTCGGGCTGTGTGGGTGGGTGCCCCCTCCCCCCCGGCCTCTATGTCTGTGTTGGGGTGTGTGTATGTGTGTCAGGGGGTTTCTTGCATCTGTGTGTCACTGAGTGTGACTGAATTTGGGGGGCTGTCATAACGTGTGTATCTGCGGGTTGAGGTTGTGGGTCCTCTAGTTGTGTGTGTCTCAGCAGGTACAGTGTATTTGAGGACAGATGGTGGTTCCAGATTGGGTTGTGTATCTGCACGTGTGTGGCCAGTTGTGTGCTGTCATCTCTGGGCTGTCATCTTTGGGGTCGCCTCTTCCCCCCTTGGATGTGTTCTGGGTGTGGAATGGGCCAGAGCTCACGAGTTAATTGAGCCCTGTCACCTGGAGTAAGGAAGACCCAAGATGGGGTTGAGAGAAATTCTTTTGGGGAGGAGACTGCCTGGCTTCTGAGCCTTCGGCAGGGAGGCGTGAGCACCCGCTCTGACACACCAGGCAGCCCGGATGGGACCCTGCTGCTGCTCCTTGCCTCCCACCCCTGAAGTTCTAATAGGCCAGAGAAGGCAAGGACGTGCCCTGGGACCACACAGCAAATAGATCACATGGCTGCTCTTCCAGCTCAGCGTTGTCTTCCTCCCCAGCGTTGGTTCCTTAGGGCTAATCCTGCCTTCTATTCTCCTGCCTGGGCCTGGGGTCTCTGAGGGAGAGGGGGACAGAGGACGTAGCCCGGGATTGAGCACAGAAGCGGGAACCAGGCCCTGGGGCCTTCTGGCTGGGAGGTAAGACTTAGGGGTGGGCGAGATCCTCCCATTTCTGTCCGGCTTATTTGGTGCATCTGGACACTGGGGTGCGGGACACCCATCTGAGTGTGAGGTGTGTCATGCAGAGCGAGCCGTGGGTGCCTGCGTGTTGAGGGTCTGGGGGGCTGTTTTATAGGGGTGGTGGTACCCCTTGTGTGCCCGTCAGGCTGACGCACGTCTTGAGGCCCTGCTCACCGGCTCCACGGCAGTTAACTAGCTGGGCCTTTGGGGTCCCGTGTGTCTCCTGTCGTGGCGGTGTGGTTAGCGGGTCCCAGTTCTGAGGGGCCCAAGATGTGCGATTGTGTGTTGGGAATGCGCAATGCCGGGTGACCAGCAGGCCTGCCTTGGTGGCATATTGCGCGTGAGGTGCTGCACCCCGGCAGGAGTTGGCACTCTGGTGCATCCGTGCACTGTGGTGTCGCCCGGTGTCCCTGGAGCGTGAGCGGACGTCTGTGTGACACGTACACTGTGGGTATCTGCTGACGCACAGTGCGCTCGGACTGATGGAGCGCAGAGGTAGGGAGGGGACACAGGACGTGAAAGGTAGAAATACGTGGACAGGCGCAGACACACGGGCACACCGGCCTGGCCTGGCCGTGCCCGTGTGGGGTCAGTGGAGGGCTTCGGGGAGACAGCAAAACTTAGGGGTGTTCCAGAGAGCAGGAGGGACCCGAAGCCTCCCGGGGCAGGGCTGGAGGGGGCAGCAGGAGGACTTTTGATGAGGAGGGGGTGCCCCTCCCATGTCCTCCCCACAGGGCTGCGGGAAACCGGCCCCTCCCACGCTCCACCCCAGGATGCCAAGGTAGAGCATGAGGCTGCAGGTGCCACCTCAGGGTCCCTGGATGACTGAGTTCACTGCCACTATTTGGGCAGTTTGGGGACTGGACACCAACTGAGGTAGAGAGAGTAGGAATTGTGTCCCTAAAGATGCCCAAGAGACCAGGATTCGGGGCGGGGGGCCGGCTGCCTCCTGGTTCCCAAGTCCACGCAGGACCTAGAGCCCCCGACTTGGCGTCCTGACCTGGGGCCACTCCCCTGCCTCCTGTCCCCAGGGTTTGCCTTCCCGGATTGGGCCTACAAGCCGGAGTCGTCCCCTGGCTCGAGGCAGATCCAGCTGTGGCACTTTATCCTGGAGCTGCTGCAGAAGGAGGAGTACCAGGGGGTCATCGCCTGGCAGGGCGACTACGGGGAATTCGTCATCAAGGACCCCGATGAAGTGGCTCGGCTCTGGGGCATCCGCAAGTGCAAGCCCCACATGAATTATGACAAGCTGAGCCGGGCCCTGCGGTGAGGAGGGGCAGGGAGAGGCTGGTCCCCCGCCCCCTGGGGGCTTGCCCTTGGTCTCCTGGGGCAGAATCCCTTGGATCCGCACGCGCAGGGATCCGCATGGGGTGGCTACTGTGGTTACTTGTGAGTGGGAGGGAAGCGAGGAGGAAGGCCGGAAGCCAGGATCCCAGCCCCTGCTTCACCCCTGCCTTGCCACCTTGGTTAAGGGACTTCTGTGAGCCTCAGTTTCCCCAAGCTGCTGTGCTCTGTGCGCTAACATGAGTCAGGGGCTCCCTCTTTACCTGCTTCGGCGCCCCTCCGCAGCGGGCCCCCCTCCTCCCTCTCCCCACAGCTACTACTACAACAAGCGGATTCTCCATAAGACCAAAGGGAAGAGGTTCACCTACAAGTTCAACTTCAGCAAAGTCGTGCTTGTCAATTACCCACTGTTGGATGTGGCAGCAGCCACCACCGGCTCCCCACTCTTGCTGACCCCTGGTCCCTTTGGGGGGACCTCTGGGCCAGATGCTCCTCCCCTTACCCCCGAGGTGAGTTAGGGTGCTGGGGTCCCAGGACGGGGGCGTGTGGTGCCGCCTCCCCAGCCATCGAGCCCCGGGGGATGGGGCAGCCAGGCTGAGCGGAGCTGCCTCCTCCCTCCCCAGACCCTGCAGACCCTGTTCTCAGCCCCTCGCCTGGGAGAGCCAGGGCCCCGGGCGCCCCTGTTCCCCCCTGAGACAGACAAGCTGCGTCTGGACAGCCCTTTCCCGTTCCTGGGCTCTGGTAAGGGCCTGTGGGTGTGGGTGGCGGCCGGGGGTGGCGGACACGTGGCCCAGGTCTGAGGGACGAGGACAGGGAGAGGCAGGACGCAGGGAGGCCTAGGGTGAGGCTGTACGAGCGCCCCTGTGTGTTTACAAGCCCCAGGAGGATTTGGGGAGGGGACAGGCTGGGGGAAGGGCTTTTCGGGCGCCAAAGGGCTGGGGAGACCAAGGCAGAGCTGCGGAGAACCACGAGAGGGTGGAGAGCGGGCAGATGCGGGGGGACGGCGCAGGGAGGGGGCGCCTGCTCCCGCGCCGCTGGAGGTGTGCGCAGCCTGACCCACCCCGTGCTCCCCAGGTGCCACTGGCTATTCCAAGCCCCCCGGCCTGCTGGGTCCTTACGGCCGCGCCTTCCCAGACTACCCCTGGAACTTTAACCCGTACCTCACCGGCCCCTTCCCCAAGCTGCCCCCCTCTCTGTACCCCCCCCACTTCTACCCCAACCCTCTGGCCAGTTCCCTGGGCCACCTGCCCTCGGCGGGGGCCGGGGGGAGCCCTACAGCTTCGCCCCTACTGGCTGCGGCGGGGGAGGGCCTGGGCCCCGAGCGCCCCTCGGGCCTGGCAGCAGCCCCTCGCCTGGCCCTGCCAGGAGCCGGGGGTCCAGAGGCCGCGCTGGGCGGGAAGGACGACAGTGACTCGGAGCTGGAGATCACAGACGTCAGCGGCTGCAGCTCTGACAGCGAGGGGGACGAGGGCCTCCCTGTGCCCCCCAAGGCCAAGGCGAGCAAAGGGGGGATCGGCAGCTGAGCCCGTGTGGGGGGTGAAGGGTTCTGCCAGAGCGGGGATCGGGGCAGACCCTCACGCAGCAGCCTCTGCCATTGCCTGGTCTGCCCTCGATGTCCCGCCTAAGGCCGGGGACCAGCCCTCGACCCCTCCCAGGACCAGGCACGTGGCTGCCCACCTTCCTCCCGAACCCCAGGTTGGGGGTGTCCCCTCCCCGTCCAGAGCGGGAGGGAATGCGACGGCCTCCTTCCCAGGCTCCAGTTTGAGGGGGGTCCCCGCCTGGCCCCACTCCCAAAGTGCAATATGGCGCCCAGCCTCTCCTGCCCGCCCGCCGCCCCCCCCACCCGTGCTGTGACCTGCGTGTTTGTGCGGCTGTGTCTCCCCTTGTGCCGGTCCCAGTCCTGACACCCTCCCCACACAGGCCCCCTGGGACAGGGAGCTCAGAGCAATAACCCCGCCCCCAGCCCCCGCCCAGGAGGGCCCCCTCCCCACCAGCTCCCCACAACCCCCACCAGCCACCTCCAGAGAGTTTACTACAAAAATAAAAGAACGGAAAGGAGTGTGAGCTGTGGGGGAAGCCCGGCGTCGTGGGTGACAGTGGGGGGCTCGGGTGGGAGCGGGGGATCACCTGGGGAGTCACTGTTGAAGGACAGAAAGGCAGACCCAGGAAGGTAATGCCAGAAACCACTCCAGGGCCCCCCACCCCATCCTCACACACGTAGCTCTCCTTAGATAATATATATTAAAAAATAAACCTCCAATTCAGGGTATAAAAACATAGCAAAGGCACTTGGGGGTGGGGAATGGAGGAGTGCCCTCCCCAGGCAATACAGAGATGGCCTGGGTAATGGGGGGGGGGGCACTGTGATTTTCCCCCCCCCCCCGGGGAAGACCCCCGGGCCCCCCACAGGGGGGGGGGACGGCCGATGGGGGGGTGGGGGGGGGGGGGGGACCCCGCCGGGGCCCCCCCCCCCCCAGGCACAGCCCCCCCGCCCCCCAGCTCCCTCTCCTCAGGCCCTTGGGGTTGGAGATGCTGCGGCAGCTGTGCGGTGGCGGCGGGTGGCCCTCAGTCTTGCAAAAGGCCTGGGGGATGTGGGAGAAGGGAGATGGGGAGAGATGGAGAGAGGCAGGGAAAAGGGGGGGAGAGGGTGGAGAGGCAGGGCCGGGGAGATGGAGGAGGGGAGGAGGAAGACGGGCAGAGCAAACACAGAGGAGCCCAAAAAGGAGAACCACCAGAGCCAGGAGGTGGAGCGGGGAGAGGCAGGGAGACAGCCAGCAGGAGGGGGCGATGGAGAAGGGAGCCCCTGAGATGCCCACCGCGGTCCCTCCCCTCGGGGCAGAGCTGCAAGCCCTCTGGGTCTCCACTCACCTGCCTGGGGCGGGGGGCCTCAGGTACAGCCAGGCGGGGGGGCGCTGTTCTCCCCCAGCTGAGACAGGAGGAGTCGCAGGCGACAAAATTCTTCCTCCACCTCCTGGATGGAGAGGCTTCAATGAGAGGGGTCCCTCCACCGAGTCAGCCCCATCCTCCCCCGCCCTGCCCCTCTCCCCAGGCCACCACCTCCAGCTGCTTCAGGGTCTCCTCCAGGCTGAGCAGCTTCTCCCGAATCTCCTGGGTCTGGGTCGGGCTCTGGGAGCCGCCCCCTGGGACCCCATCCCCATCACGGGGAGGTCCCGCCCCGCTGTCTTCCTCCGAGGGAAACAGGAGCTGCTTCAGGGACAGCACTGGCAGGGGCGAGGGGACAGAGTCAGAAGCGGGGCTGGGAAAGAGGCCAGGGGCCTGCAGGGGAGGGGGGTACCCGGAGGGGAAGGTGGGGGCCGGGCTGCAGGTGGGGCTGGGGGACGCGAAGGGGGTGCAGAGGAGAGGCAGGGAGGGCACACGGAGAATGGAGGGCATCCAGGGAGAGGCTGAACCGGAGGTCAAGGGAGGGACAGAGGCTACAGCAGAGGGGCTCGGGGCCACCGAGGGTGGTGGCGCAGGCCTGGAGCGCACTGGGCCTGCACCGGAGACAGGCTGGAAAGATGGGCTAGTGGCAGCCCCGCACGGACGGCGCCGGCCTACCTTTCTCAAGGGCCTTGGCCGCGAGCTGGCCCTCGGGGCCGGGCCTGCAGTAGGGCAGGAGGGTGCTGAGGATTCTCTCGGTCCGGCCTGGGGAGGGGAGGAAGAAGCGGGGGCGGGCGGTGCTCAGTTCCTGCCGGGCCTCCTCGGGACACCTTGCCCCCCACCCCGACTACGTGTCCCCACAAAGGCTCACTGTCCACTGGGGGCATCTCTCGGCCAGCACCGTTGCCGTTCTCCGAGCTGCTGAGCAGGGGTTCTCGGGTGCTGCGGGGAGAAGTACTGGGTGACCCCATGGCCCTGGCCCTCGGGGGCAGCAGGGAGACAGCAGGAGGCTGGGGGGGGTGGTTCAGACACAGAAATCGAGGCTGGGAGATGGGAGACAGAGGGGCCTGGACAGGGGCCAGACCGGCTGTGGTGATGGCACACACCTGTACTGGCACACACCTGTACACACACACACACACACAGCCGGAGCTCAAGTTCTGGAGACACACACAGTCATCTCCCCTGGCTCCTCAGCCCTCCAGTGTCCCCCTCACCTGCTTGGGCTGGGCCGGGATTTGGGGCGAGAGGCGGGAGCGGGGACCTTCAAGGATCCAGCAGTCTCGGTGATGAGGGAACACCAGCTGGGGAGACAGGTCAGCCCCCACCCCGGGGCAGGCAGTCAGAGCCCCCCAGATCCTGTGCCAGGGCCTCCACCCCCCCCCCCCAGCCTGGGCCACCTCTTCCACCCGAGCTTAGAACCCAGACCCCCCTCACTTCTTCCGTTCTGACACGGTCTGGGCCACCAGTTCGTATATCTGGGCCTCCTGGTCCCACGTGAAAAGGACATAGAAGGCTTTGTGATCTGCAGGAGGAAGAGGGGGTTCAGGGCCAGGGTCACCCCGATGTGCACCTCCCCCGAGCTTGGGCTAGAGGCGGGGGACTTAGGCTCCCCCAGCTCACGCCCATCCCTCTGGTGCCTCCTCCCAGGGCCTCCCTCTCACACCCCCTCATCCATCAGGCAGCAAGTCCCCAGTCTGGCTCTCCCCACAAAACCCCTGGAGCCGCTGGTGCACACGTGCAAACCCCTCCTCGCTGGGCTCCAGCCTCCACCCCTGCTCCCCTACAGTCCCTGCAGCGGGCGTCTTCGAACGCTGATCAGAGCTGGCAGCTCCTGTGTGCAAACCCCTGGGGAGCTGCCCGGGTCCCTTCCTAAGGCCCACAGCGCTCCTGGCCCCCGGCCACGCCCAGCTCCGGGGGGGGAGGGGGGCCCTCGCGGCTTCCCCTTCCTGGGCCTCTGCCGTGGCCTCCCTGGGGGGCCAGCACGCGCTCCCCAGCTCTTTCAGAGGCCCCCCCATCCTGCGGGCAGGGGCCTCACCGGTGGCCACCTCGCGGGTGATGGCGGAGGTGAGCCGCAGCACGGGCCGCAGCATGGTCTTGCCGTCGGGCGTGGGCGTCAGCGTCCGGCTGTGGGACTTGAGCAGCAGCCGTTCGTCCTGGCGCTGGAGTAGCAGCAGCAGGTCGTCCAGCAGCAGCACGTGGACCTCTGTGGGGCGAGGCCCAGGCTTCAGCAGTGCCCCTCCGGAACCCCCCACCCCCCGGGCCCCGCTCACCGCCCCGGCGCTCACCTATAGCCTTGTCCCTCGTCACCCGCCACGTCAGCGGGCCCTCGTGCACCAGCTTCTTCTTGGTGATGTCCAGGTTCTGGAGGCAGGAAGGCGTCACGGTCGGCGCCAGGGCAGGGGAGGGCGGGGGGGACCACGGGGCTGGGGTGGTGGGCCAGGCTCGGGACGAGCAAGCCGCTGGGACTGAGGAGGGGTTCCGAGCAGGGGGTGGCTTTCACTCCTGGGGCGCATCAGCACAGAGTCCTGGGGGCAGGAGGGGCAGGGCTGGCCGAGGGCAGGGGAAGGCCAGGGAGAAGCGGGGAGGTCAGGGCAGGCAGGGCCACCTTGAACTCGCTCAGCATGGGGTCACTGCTCTGCCGCAGGTGGGACAAGTCCAGGCGCTTCTGATAATCCTTGAGCCGCTGGGGCAGGGAAGGGACAGTCACGGGGATGACCCAAGGGCTGCGGCTGACCCACAGTGACCCCGAAGGGACAAGCCGAGGGCCAGGCCCGACCTCCAGAGAAGGGGCCCCGAGGCAGACGAGAGAAAGGCCCGCCCAGGCCCCCCCCCCCACGGATGCCCCCTCCCTGCGGGCCCACGGCCACGGCCAGGCTCACCAGCAGGTCCTCCATGTCGCGCACAGCTTGGTTAACATGGTGCAGAATTTCCCGGCAGCACTCAGCTGCCCGTTCCACTCTCTCCCGTTCCGCCGGCTCTTCTGTGGCAAAGGAGAGACGAGCCCCGGTGAACCCCGAGCCTGAAGCTCCTGGCCCCCGCCCCGCCGCGGTGAGACAGGACAGCCGGGGCCCCGTGGCGTGGGGCCTGGCCCTCTGGCACCTGTGTTCTGCCCAATGCTCTGCAGGAGCAGGGGATACTTGGTCAGACGCTGCATCTCCGTGGGGATCATATCCTTCAGCTGCAGGCGACGGCACCTCGGGCGGCTCTCGGCCTCCTAGGGGCAGAGTGGCGCTGAGGTGGCCCGTACCGGGGGGGGGGGGGCGCCTCGGGGACTGCGACACCAGCCCCCTCCCCCCTGGGACGCTGGCTTCCCCCTCACCTGCACAAAGGCACAGAACCGAGGCTCCTTGCGCTGCTTGGCTTTGAGCTGCTCTAAGGCAAACGACTGGCGGCTGCAGAAGCGGGAGGAGATTTTCTGGAACCAGTTGCCTTCGGGACCATCAAACTACAGTGAGATTCAGGCCAGGGAGGGTGTCTCAGGTGGGATTGGGAAGAGCAGGGCCTCACGAGGGAACAGCAGCCTCGACAGGAGGACAGGGTGAGGGGCCCCGACCCCTGGGTCTTGATGGGATTCCAGGTCCCTGGCTGGGAGGAGGGGACCCCAGAGGGGCAGGGGCTGGGCGCCCTCACCCGGGCCAGCAGCACATCTCCGATCTCCTCAATGAGGTAGCCACTATCCTGCCTCCGCTTCATCAGCCGATCAAGGAACAGGGCTGTTGAGAGCGGTGAGGGAAGGGGGCGCTCTGTCAGGGCCCGAGAGGTGGTATGTAGAGCCGATGGGGGGGGCGGTTGTGGAGGTCGGGCTGCAAGTGTCTGATCCTTGGGGCCAATGGGCTGTCCCCCCCAACCCCCGCCCATGCCGTGCGCTTGTGGATGTGCCCCCTGGAATGTGAGCTCTGGGGGTGTGGGGTTGCCCCCAGGGCTAGAAAAGAAGCTGCCCGTGGTAGGCACTCAAGGAGAATGTGCTAGACTCCGGGTCTAGCCGCAAAGGCCTCGAGGAGGGAGCCGGTGGTGGGGCGCACAGTGGGCCATGGCCCTGCACTCACAATGCACCTCGATGAGCTCGTCCAGGCTGGGAAAGATGTTCTGTAGCTCCTCCTGAGAGAAGAAGCCCCCTTCCGCCATGGGCTGGTAGAAGAGGTCATGCAGCACCCGGAGCATGCGCACGTGGGCGGCCTCTGTCACCAGCAGCTCTGTGGGGCCACCGAGCAGGAAGCATGGTTGGGGAGGGTGCAAAGGATGGGGTGCAGTCTCAGAGGCAGGCTCGGGGTGGGGGACAGGGGTGACTCTCTCTCGATGGAATCGTTTGCCCCTGAAAGAGCCACCAAAGATTCCTGATCCCGGAAAAGCCCGTTTTCCTTGGCTGCGGCAGCAGCCAGCCGGGGTGACCAATGGTCCCCTGTGCCTGGCACTGACGCCTTTCCCAGAACATGGGATTTTCAGTGCTACACCTGGGAAAGTTCCAGGCGAACTGGGATGAGTTGGTCACACCACCACCAGCAAGCGCCCCCACCCCCGCCGGAGCTGTGTTTGGCGTCCAGGAAGTCTCTCGGCCTTGGTTTCTGGAACAATGATAACCCTTTACACACACGTTGATAGCCTTGGATCCAGGGACCCCCCCCCCCCAGAGGGAGCATGCCTGGGTTTCAGGGGTCCCAGGAGTCCCTGGACACTAAACGCACAATCCTGTGTTAGGAATATTCTTCTGACGAAAGAAATGGCTGTGCTGTCTGCTACGGTAGCCACTAGCCACGTACAGGCCTTCAGATTTTAACTGAAATACAAAATTCCATTGCCAGTTGTACCTGTCACATTTCAAGTGCTCAACGGCCATTACGTGGCTGGTGGTAACCATGTTGGACAGCGCAGATGCTGCGTGTTTTCATTATTCCAGAAAATTCTATCAGATAGCACTGCTTTATGTTTTGCTCATATCCTTAGAAGGATCTGTGACACAAAAAGTATTCCCCTACTGCCCTAAAAATTCCAAATGAGTACCCTTACTATTAAGCAACTTGTAAATAAACTTCCAAACCAGAGCTTCCAAAGAAGTGTTCTATTTTGCCAAACACCCTCCCCACACCCAGTTCGCAATCAGAGAAAAGAATCAGGACAGAAACGATACTTCCATCACCTCCCTGCCCAGAAGCAAGCACTGATAATATATTGATTATCTTCCAAAACGTGTCCCCCTGGGACCCTTTCTGCCCCTGAATGGTTAAGACCATGGTAAGAACAGTCACACTGGGAAGTTCATACCCGGCCCCACAGCGAGCTAAACGCTTCACATGAATCACCTAAGCTCCGTGACAGTCTTTTGAGGTGTGAACTATTACTACCCAAATAAGAAAACAAAGATTTCCTGGAGAAATACAACTTTTTGTCCCCGTTCCTGCTCTTGCCGGCGCTGCGGGGGGGGGGGGGGGGGGGGGGGGGGGCGGAACTCGCTGGAAATGTCACTTTGACAGCTGACAGCCACATTCTTGTCCATGAGTGGCTGTTCTACAATTTACATAACAAATGGCCCTCGGTGGAAACAGGCCGCCTTCAAGCTCGGGGGGGATGGCCAGCTCCATCTCTTGGCCAGAACCGGGTGGTGGGGTGGTGACCCCGGTACTCACCGCTGATGACCTCCTGCCGCTTCACCTGGCTCTTGGGCAGGCTGTGCAGGGTGCCAAGGGGGACGAGCTCCCGCCAGCCAGGGGGCTCTTCTGGTTCCAGCTCTAGTCCTGACCGTCCTGGGTCCCCTTCATCTCCGGGCTCAGGGCTGTGAGACAGAGGCCTTGTCAGGGCCCCAGCTTGGGGAATCCCAGGGAGACTTCCATTGCTAGTGTCTAACACCCCACCCCCCACCCCACCCCGTGGCCTTGGCATTCGACGCCTCCAAAGTAGCCCATGCTGCAGAGCAGCCCCCAAATCTCTAGAAAGAAGAGTCCCACCCCTCTCCTGTGACCTCAGTGACCTGAGCGTCCAATACCCAATTCTCTGTAACTCTGGCAACGACCCCTCCCCCACCATCCTCCTGACTCTCCAGGCTGCCTCAGTAGATGTGGGAGGAATGACCTACGTGGCTCGTCGGGCAGGGCCAAGCACGGCCGTGGCAGAGCTGGGGTCCATGTCCACGTCACTCCGGGAGCGGCCCCCACCCCGGCCCTTAGCCCCGAGGCTGCCCCGGGAAGGCCGGCGGCGGTCACTCACCCGCAGGCTCTCCGAGCGCCCCAGACGCCCCGATAGCCTGGACCCCGAGGCCAAGGACAGAGTCAGGCAGAGGCCAGGACAGAGACAGGGAGAGACCA